TAATGAGAATCTGTCCGTTGGAAAGAGACGCTCTCATTTTTGAAATCTTGTATCTTTTTGTCAGAGATCTTATCTTATCTTCTGCAAAGATGTCAGAAAGGACAAGCTAGCCGTTGTTAGAGCTTCATCTCCATGTAAATGGGTTCCCAAACTTCATCTGATATTTCCTCTGGTTTTACGTTGAGTGGGAATATCTGGGTGTAGAACGGCTTCTCTGATTAGCTCTGAAGTGGTCCTTGTATCTTTGGGATTTAAAAATATTCATCAATTTAATCCCATACTAGTTAAACTAGTATTTTTCCCTGTGAGAATATTTTCACTGTAAGTTCATCTTCATCTTCTTCATTCTCACGTCTGGGAGAATATTTTCACTGTAAGTTCATCTTCATCTTCTTCATTCTCACGTCTGGGTGTTCTCAGACTTCAAACTGGCTTTGAACTTCCACCCAATTTGAATTTCTCCTTTGTAATTGACACCCAATTTCAATTGGCTTGTAATTGGCACCCAATTTGAATTTCTCCATTGTAATTGGCTCCCAATTGACTTTGACTTGCAATTGGCTCTCAAATTGCTCCTGGTGCTTTCAATTGCTCGAAATTGGCTCCCAGACTTCTCCTGGTATTGAATTTTATCTCAATTCAATTTGATCTCCATGTCTTCTTTGAATCGGTCCCCAACTTGAAATTGCATCCCATACTACAACCTCAATTGGCTCCCAATTTCAATTCTACATTGGCTCCCCTCTTGAATTGATTCTTTTCAATCCTACATTGGCTCCCATCTTGAATTGATTCTCATGTGAAACTTGCTTCCAATTTCAATTGATTTCAATTTCTCTGAAACTGGCTCCCAATTTCAATTGCTATGAAATCGGTTGTCATTTTCTCCAGACAAATTCTTGATTTTAGGCTTTATATCTTCTTCTTCTATTTTCATGCATCTTCCTCTGTTTTTCTCTTTTCAATTTAAATAATTTCCCGATCATGGTCTTAAGACTCTACTAGACCTATAAATAAAATTGGGGGATCTACAAATACAAATTTGGCATATCAAAACCATTACACTTTATTCCTAACATATTATATTGAATAGATTTGGTGTTTGTATGGAATTGTTATGTTATGTGCATTCTTTGGTTTGATCCTATCTTGTTGGTGGCCAAAATAAGGTAGGAGTCTAAGATTGAGAGATTGACAAGAGATTGTAGTCCCTCAATAGTCTTGTTGTGCATAATCCCCGCCCTACGATTCGAGAGGGCTAGGCCCAGGAGGAGTGGTAGACCAAGTGCTCAACGAAATGCCTTACTGACTTAGGACCTAAGAGACTAAGTCCTACGCAGTTTAGTGTTAGTGCCTTAATACTCCCGTAGTAACCGTTCGAAAACCTTTTCAATTCACCCCCTTGAGAAGTGAATGCCACCTCTAGGAAGGCCAATCAAATCCTCGTTCTTTATTGTTGTTTGTTGTTTTTTGTTAGATTTGAATTCTCACATTTTTTAATCAACGACATTATGTTTCCATTCCTAGGTGATAATTGCCATTGTATTGCCTGCACACTCGCTCTAATCTCTCCAATTTTCCATCCGTGAGAGAACGATATAAATTCGGGAAGTGAATCCCGTAATCTTTTGACGTAAAAGGAAAAGTGCCTTTGTCAAAATGGCACCGTTGCCGGGCTTAGCAAACGGTGTAGATTAGGATGTTTTTGCTTCTAATACATTGGCAAGGAAGCTAGGATGTTTTTCCTTTACGTTTTTTGTTGTTGTTTTTGCTACATTTTGACACTTGATATTGAGCACACACGTTGTTATCTTAACCCATAAAGGAGCAACTACTTCTAGTTGTCCTCCTTTTGTCTTGTGCAACTTGTGTAGGTACAAATGGATCCCAGGGATCACCATCATATGCACAAGGAGATACCTTTGTGCGGATACCCACCCCATAGTGGAGAGCTATGGAGACACATGCCACCACCGACTCACCCTCACAATCCATACTATTCTCCCTATGCTTACAATTATCCACCCCCACCAAATCATTACCCACCATCATCACCCCCATGTTGTTATGAAAGATGTTATGCCTCACATCACTACATTCCTCAACCAATCCCTATCAAAACGAAGCTCCACCCCCATAAAACCCATACAACCCTTACTATGTCCAATCCACGAGCCACCTCACGCACATGGAGACCTCTTGGATTAGAAATAGAAACATCCACAATCCCATCCACGCACGTCGACCGGAAGAGGATGTTGCATGGATTAGAAACAAAAACATCCACGAACCAATCCACGCGCATGGATCGGTTGTGGATGCGAACAAGGATGTTCCTCTGGACTATCAACCACCCATTCAAAAGGAGGAAGAATGCAACTATTTTGAGAGAAGAATCCAAGACTTCATCCACGAATCCAAGGAAGAGATGATGAATTTAAATACCTCCATGAAGCAAGAACTCGAAAAGTAGTTGCAGGCGTTCAAACAAGAGACATGCCAACCCCTCAAGATGATGGAAGACAATATCTTCGCATTGGTGGAGGGGTTTACAAGGAGATTTGAGTCGGAAGCCCATGCCGTCACTCTAAGGAGTGGGAAGGAACTTCCTGAGGCAACACCATCTCTAAAAGATACCCTAAATCATGATGTGCCAAGGAAGGAAGTCGAGCCTCTTAAACCAAATGAAGATACCAAGGTACGACTAGTCAAGAAGAGGAGCTGCCAATGGCAATCAAACCTTCGAGAAAATGGAAGGAAGTCATACAAGATCAACCGACCATTCCCAAGGCACAACTTCCCTTCCCACAACGGTTCCGAAATGACGTGGATAATGCAAAGTATGCGATTCTCCAAATGCTCAAGCAACTCCACATTGATATGCCGTTTGTAGATGCGTTGGGCGAGATGCCGAGGTATGCTAAGATCTTCTCTCCAACAAAAAGAGGTTGGAGGAATCGGCTACTATAATTCTTAGTGAAGAATGCTCCGCCATAATGCACCGGGATATGCCCTGGAAGCTGAAAGATCCGGGAAGCTTCACCATCCTGTGCAATATAGGGGAGACATCCTTCAACAAAGCCCTAGCCGATCTTGGTGCTAGTATCAATTTGATGTTGTATGCTTTGTTTAAGAAGTTTCATTTCGGCTCCCTAAAGCCCACACGGATTTGCATTCAACTTGCGGATCCCGAAGTTTAAGAGGTTGTGTTTGTTCGGGTAGACAAATTCATCTTCCCGGTGGACTTTGTAATTATAGACATGGATCCCGACGTGGAGGTGCCCCTAATCGACGACTCTTCGAATTTTCAACTCTTCGATCTTCAACTTCTCGCAGCTTCAAATCTTCAATCTTCTCTGATCTTCTTGACTTCTTGAAGACTTACTTCTCAAAGGTTTACTTCTCCAATCTGTCTTTTACTTATCGTAGTTGTCTTCTTGGAAGCTACTATATTGACCTTTCGAAGCTTTAAACTATCCTAAGGTTACTTCTCGAATTACATTTACTTCCCGGTTAGTAAATTTCATTCTCTAAGGGGGGTGTATTCAATCATGACTTTTATAGAGTTTTAAAGACTTTTAAAATGATTGATTTTAATAAACTTTGATTGACTTTCATAAAGTCGTTCAAAACTTTTTAAAACTTTATAAGACTCTATAAAAGTCTATATAAATAACATTCATAGACTTTTATCAACTTTTTATTTTAAAAAGTCTACAATAGTCATTGAAATACTAAATTAAATACATCCCTACAAACTTTCAATGATTTTGATTCTTAACATTTATAATTTTCTTACAAAACATATATATTATATATCATAAAATTCTTCTTATTATATAGTTCTTCACCCAAATCTAATATTAATAATATATATATATATATATATATATATATATATATATATATATATATATATATATATATATATATATATATATATATAAATTATACTTGATATATTGCTAGGTATCACGCAAAGAACTATTATTTGTAATAGCAATTTGAGACAGCGAACAACATCAATGTGCTACTGTTTGCAACCCCCAAATTGTTATTGCGAACATACAGTAGTTCACTATTCGTAGTAACATGTTGTTAAAAAAATAATAAAAAAATATATATTACGAATATAAACATAAAAAGAATAAAAATCAAAATATATACATATTTATATGAATATTATGAAACATATACTAAAATTTGACGATGAAATATTTGCTTTGTTAATGTATTTAGGGAGAATTAGAGAAAGTTAGGGATAAAAAATTCATAGAAAAAATAAAAATCAATATAAACAAGCAATAATGAAGTAAAAATAATATTATTTCGAATTTTTAGAGGAAGATTGTAAAGCTTAGGAAAGAGAGATAAATTGGTAGAGTTTAGGTATGAGGAAAATATAGGATAATGAAGAAAAAAAATAATTTTATTGAATTTAGATAGGTTTATAAAGTTTAAATATGGAGAAAAAATAGAGTTTAAATAGAGAGAGAAAACATTCAAAGTTGTCAGAAAGAAAATTTTGAAATCTTGGGGTTGATGGTTGGATTTCAACTATTTATATTTGAGAAGGAAAAGTCTACAAAAGTCCTAAAATTAAAAAGTCTACAAAAGTTCATGACTTTTAAAGACTCTTTAAAAGTCTTAATCGAATACCACATGACTTTTAAAGACTCTTTAAAAGTCTTGATTGAATACCACCTGACTTTTAAAGACTCTCTAAAAGTTTGAATTGAATACCTCCAAACTTTTAAAGTTCATAAAAGTCTTTAAAATTCTACGAAAGTCATGATTGAATACACCCCCCTAAGTGAACATTTTAGATTTACAATTTGTAACACTATTGAGTTTAAAAATAAAAAAATAATTGGAGACTAAAATTTCGGTATCATCAAAATCTAAAATATACTTGTTCTTAACACTCCTATATTTACTAATCTTTCCAACTTTTCCATTGGATTGCATTTTAAATTGATGGATATATTAAACAGAAGGCCTGACTAAAAGATTATATTAGGAAGATTAAAAGCAAAGAATTGAATAATAATCAGAATACATATCATTGAGTTTTGAGAATTGAAGCTTCTGTCAGCCATGCATCCTCTACCAGAAATGCAACCCTCAAAGCATCCGGTGCTCTGCTTAGACAATGCGAAAATACACATTTCTCTAGCTTCCTTGCACTCTTCTCTTCCTATAATATATATATAATCTCATTTGGATCTACCCTTATTTTTTTTTTTATTTTAGCATCATATATATTACCCCTCTCATAAAAACCAAAGGAAAAGTTCTGTAATTAGCACTCACCTAATCAAGTACTAATTAAATGTAGATCGATCTTCCTGCAGTTTGCTATCCCCAATATTCTTTAAACATGAGTTTCTTTCTTCAAACTCTATGTACTTGTACCACTTTGCGCATAGAATATAGACCACGAAATCAGCTGTTGTTAAGGCTGCTAATAGGAAGTAAAATCTATCCAAATGACCCTTGTTGAGGTTCCCAGGTATCCATCCAGGCATCCTATGAGTAGTCGAAATTCTCATCACAATGCTCACTAGCAAGCTGCTCACATAGTTCCCCAGTGATATGGATGTCATGCAAAGCGCACTCGCGAAGCTCTTCAACCCCTCGGGGGCCTGCCCGTTGAAGAATTCGAGTTGTCCAACGTACATGAAAACCTCGGACGCCCCAATCAACACGTACTGCGGTACTTGCCAGAAGATGCTCAAGGAGCTCGGGCATCGGGGGCAATCAGTGCTTGCATATTTTAGCCTGAAATGTTCCACAATCCCGGCTGCTACCATTGCCATTATGGCTATGATAAGCCCCACTCCCATTCTTTGGAGCTCGGTGAAGCCTTGTGCTCTACGCGTTTTCTTTAGGCTGGCAATGAGGGGGTCGAGAATGCGCCTGTAGATGAAAATGAAGGCTGCAACGCTGAGGATATCGAAGCTGGACATGCTGGCTGGAGGGATATGGAAGCCGGCGATGTTGGTTCTCATGGCGGCGCCTTGCTCTACAAATAGAGAGGCCATTTGAGTGAAGACTACGGAGTAGAGGATTGTGCATAGCCAAATTGGAAGAAGCCTTAGTATGCATTTTACTTCTTCCACTTGAGTTACACTGCAGAGACGCCACGGATTAATGTTTCTCTCTTCTAAGTCACGGACACTCTCCTTTGTTGTAATAACGGCTGCTTTATCCAAGAATCTACGCAAACAATTTCATGTATGTTAGTATTGCGCGGAAACATGAAGGGCCAAGTTGCTCACCAAATAGCTCAAGATTGTTGGGTATAGGTTTTCTAAAAGTCAAGTCTAGCATCCTCTTTTTAAAAATATAGTGTAGGTTGTTAGGCAAGTATAAGAAAATAAAATTGGACATTTGTTATTAATATTAGAGCTTTTGGCGTAGTAATAAACATTTATTCTAACAATTAAGATTTAATTGATGGTAATCATATGTATTTGTTGGACGGAGGCCGATAAATGACCAAATCCAGAACCCAGTGACTATTAGATTATTAGGCGGAGACATGTTAGGTCCAATACAACTAGGGATGGCAATTTGCCCCATCCATGATGGGGACCTCCGATTCCCGTCCTGATGGGGACGGGGATGGGAAAAAAATTTCGAGGAACGGAGACGCGGGGATAGAAATATATCTAATTCCCTGTCGGGGACAGGGACGGAGACGGGAATACCCCTCCTCGCCCCGTCCCCGAATAATGTTATAATTAAAAATTATATATATATATATTTCTTTATTTATTTATTTATAATATTATTTTTTAAAATTAAAATTTAAGTTTTTAGTTTTAAAAATTACTAAATTATACAAATTTAAGATTTTGATTTAAAGTTAAATGAGGACGAGAATCTCACTCCCCGCCTAATTTTCCACAAGGACAGGATAGAGACTATTTTCTATTCTCCGCTAAGAATGGGGACAGGGACGGAGTTGGGATTTGGGGACGGGAACAGGGACAGGGAGTATACTCCCGCTCCTGTCCCGTTGTCATCCCTAAATCTAGTAATATATAAGAAAATGAAGTTGTGTCTTCGCTATAAGTTCCGACTTTTGTCAAAGTAACAATTACTTACTTAAATCCTTCGGTATGGAGTATTTTTCTGGTGCTAGAATCGTGTTCCTGGATTTCATAGAGACGATGATCATCGCCATCTGAAGGGAGGTGAACATTCCATTTTCTGGCAGAAGCAACAAGAACTTGGGAGAATCTTGAAAGAGGGTTGCCTTTGGGTGCAAAGTGACGGTATCTGGGCGTGCCAACAAGGAAGAGGAGTAAAGCCAAAACGGCAGAGACAGTGGATGCCCAGAATCCGAGTGTCCACATGCCCTTGTCCTCGAAGTAGACAAGAACAGTGTTGGAGAAGAGAGAGCCGAGATTCAATGCCAAGTAGAAGTAGCTAAAGAAAGCCACCTTCGACACACTTTCATGGGCGTGGTCTCCGTCGAACTGGTCGGACCCGAATGTTGCTATGTTGGGTTGGTAGCCACCGTTCCCGAGGGCAACCAGGTAAATCGATACATAATACACTGCGATATGGATCCGAGAGGGGGACCTGCAAGGGGTGTTTTCGTCCCCACACCCCTTTGGCTTCACTAAGAAAATGAATGAAAATATTGACACTGATATTAATCCCTGCAATATAATACAAATTTTAATTAGCCTTTTTTTTTTTTTGAGAGCATATGCATATCACATCACTTATTTTAAAATACAATTAGCCTTTTTTTTTTTTTGTTATATATATTTGGTAAATAAATATGAGTTTTAATTGTTTTTATATATTTAAAACGCCATGAAACATAGCGATCCTGTTTGGTAAATGGTTGTTAACTGATAGCGGTTAGTTGTTAACTGATTGAGTTAATTAGATGGTATAATTAGTTGATAACATTAGCTGATTGTAAAAATGTGTTTGGTAAATTAGCTGTTAGTTGATAGCTATTTGGTATAATTTCTTTTTCCAAAAAGTTAATTTGAACAAATTTTTGAAATTTAGCATTTTGGAATTACAAAAAGCTAATTAACCAAACACTTATATTAATTTTTTAACCAAGTCAAACCATTAATAGCAGTCAAAATTAATTTATAGACTAATTATTTTACCAAATTGGGCTAGCATCTAAAAAAAATTATCAACTTTCCATTTTTTACTTTTAGCCTTTTTATTTTACCAAAATGATGTCATCAACCTACATAAGAAATTAAGAACTAGTTTTACAAAAGATTTCAATGTTGTTCTAATCACCTATCTTATCATAATTCATTTTCCAATTTCTAGGGTTTAGTTTTTCAGCTCAGTATGTCAAATGGAGTTAGGGTGAGAGCTTTATTTGGATTATCTAAAATCAAACTAGGGTGGACGTTTTAATTTTTTATTTAAATTATTTTTTCAGTTCGATTTGATTTGAATTTTAAATTTAGATATTTTAAACTATAGTATGTGTGAATATAAATTTAATTTAAATATTAAGTGTATTAAATTGTATCTATGCCCAACTTGAAATTCAAACTAAATCAAAAATCTTTAAAATATATTATTGTGACATGATAATTTTTTGATCCTTTATCTAAATGAAAATGTTCTAATTAATAAAAAATGACTAAAAGTGACTTTCACCTATAAACCTGGGACTAAAAATGAAATGAACTTTAAAATGAATATAAAAATTTTAAAGTCATTAAAAATTTAAGTGTACCTAAACTAACCCAAAATAATTATTAACCAAACCTCCAAACATATCATAAACACTATTTAATTATTTGGTTATTGGGCTTTAAAATATCACCTAAACCAAAATAATGCCTGCCCAAAAAGGTGGCTTGGTAGTGAAATGACAAGATTGGCCCTGCGCGGAACTTGAAAGTAAAAGAGTGAGTGACTCACGACAACATAAATGAGTTGGAAGATAGCACAAGTTTTGTATCTTCCCCAATAGGAATCACTGAGGAAAGCTCCGAGGAGGGAGAAGAGATAAACAGTCCCTGTCCATTTGCTGACGTTATTGGCTGCGTCAGCATTGTCTTGCCCCATCACTCTTGTCAGAAACAACACTAGATTCACTCCTACCCCGAAGAATGCCAGTGTCGCTAAACCTTGATTCACTGAAATTATATACGGAGTATATATTATATAATTTTTTATTTAAAAAAGAAAAAAGAAAAATCAATTTAAATTGAAAATATAATATCAAAGTATTATTGAAAATAGAAAAAAATAAAATAAAATAAAATTTTCCACTTACCAAGTAAAAGTACACCGGCAAACCAGCCTCCAGTTGCAGATCGGAGTGCAGGGCGGCCGTAATGATCAACGGTTCCATCGAGGGTGCACTCTTCTCGGGATGCCTTCTCCTCATCCCTCTCATTCTTAATAAAAAACTATTAAAAAAATCAGTTAATATGCCAGTGATAATAATAATTAATAGGAAAACTGTTTGATATGGTGAAGTGATTATCGATCAGTTCATAGTAACGTATATAACCCAATGAATAAAAAATGAGAAAGATTGACTTGAACAGGAGGAAAAATGTATGTGAAACTATCTTGTCGAGATAAGTGGGACTGCTGATACTTGTCGGGTATGAATTAAATTAGCTTTTTTCGCAAATTTAATCAGATTTAGGAAGATGAGTCTCTGATTTAGTTATTTTGATTTCTAACATTATATATATAAAGGTGAGTAACGCGGACAAACTACTTTATTGAGTGTACACAATCTAATACATGAATGCACACAATATATTGTCGAACATATCTAGATGATATGATGGTGGAGACCAGATTGTGTGTATTCATATAATAGATTGTGTGCACTCATACAATTTTCACGTTCTAATTAAGTAAGGCATGGTTCTCATATGAACACAAGCCTAACCTCTATATATATATATATATATATATATATATATATATATATATATATATATATATATATGTGTGTGTGTGTGTATAGTTGTTGCATGCATAAGAAAGCAAAATTGTTGTTATCCAATCAACTCAGCTAAGGGTTGCCATGCGATGAAGTTTTGAATGAAAATAAGAAAAGAAAATGTGCAGCATGCATGGTGCGGCAAGCTAAGAGAAGAAACTAACCATTTTGGTGATATTTAAGAAAGCCGCCATTGTTGTATGCTACCGTGAAAGTAAAGAAAACCGGCCAGCTTTAATTACTAGGCCGGAGAGGGATCGGAGAAGATGCTTATTAAGAGATGTATGTATTCAGAGAGTCCTGAGAGGGAAGGGGTGGTCAGGGAAAATATACACACATACACAGCTATATATAGAGAGATCAAGGATTTTATATTGAATAAAAGCTGAGCTGTGAGTAGAAACTAACTCAAATGGATTGCTTGGGGGAGTTATATCTGGGAGGAAATTAAGTACAGTTTGGAACGCAACAACATCGGGTGACAAAGCAATGTGTTGGAAGCGGCTAACTTTGACTACGTGTGACAATTTAGTCCTATATATATATATATATATATATATATATATATATATATATATATATATATATATATAGGTTCAGGTTCATGTGCATTTAAGTGTTTTCCATGCGGTTGTGCGAGTGATTAATGTACGCGAGTTTTGTACTTAATGTGCGTGAGTCTTGTGCTTAATGTGCATGAGATTTGTGCTTAATGTGCGTGAGTGTGTAATGTTTAATGTGCGTGAGTTTTGTGCTTAATGTGCGTGAGTCGTGTGTTTAAGGTGCGTGAGTTTTGTACTTAATGTGCGTGAGTGTGTACTTGATGTGAGTTATTTTTAAAACTTAAGGTGCGTGGGTTTTTGACTTTTTGTGCTTTACATGCGTAAGGCTTGTACTTAACATGTGTGAGGTTGTGTTCTGAAGGTGTTTTGTTTGTGTGCTTAATGTGCGTGTGTTGTGTACTGCACGGGAAGCCTCAAATGCACATGATCCCTCCCATATATATATATATATATATATATATATATATATATATATATATATATATATATATATATATATATATATATATATATATATGGGGCGCGTTCAGGTGACAACGGCCGCCCATGAGAGAAATAAGAATCACTCATAGCTATCCGCTCATCCATGTGTCCAGATCAACGAATTATATGTAATTTTAAAATAACGATGTGGTGGTATTTTCGTAAATAACTCGAACTTTGGTGCAAGTAAATGTGTTACAAGTGCAAGTAGCTGGTGTACCTTTGCAAGTAAAAAGTGCATGTAAAATCACTTACAAGTGCAAGTAATTTACCCTGTTAAAATTCATGCACGTTAGGTGCACCTAGTTATAACGTTAGGTGCACTTAGTGTAAACTTTACTTGTACCTGTAATACATTTTACATGCACTTATAATACATTTTACTTGCACTTAGATGTTTATTTATTTACGAAAATGCCACCGTGTTTTTTTTTTTTTAAATCAGTGTTTCTCATACGTTAGATCTGGACACGTGGACGGATGTCATGCGTTCGGAGTTCTTTCCTGTGTGAGCAGTTTGCACTTGAATGCGATCCTATATATATATATATATATATATATATATATATATATATATATATATATATTAATCATGTATGTTTAAAGATAGATATTCGTTGTTAATACGCAATTAAATGTATACATGAATCAACCTACAATAATTGAGAAAATAAATAATAATTTATTAAAAATGAAAATTAAAGACGGAAGAAATAGGTATTCCCGACTTATCTATCAGAAAAAGAATTGAAAGCTAAGGGTTAAGCTGTAAGGATGGTGACACTTTTGATTTAAATTTGAAACGTGGGTGAAGCAAGTAGTTGATGAGACGGTGGGTGCCTCTCCTGCATATATGTCTGGTCTGATGTAATTAAAACCAGGTAATTTAATGCCAAATAATAGGAGATTATATTCGATTTTTTGTCGACAAAATTATATTAAGGATGCTTGCTTGCATTGAATTGCATGCATGTGTGATCGTGAATCTTGGTCTCCTTATAATAATGCGACTTTAATTTAGTTCTATTTTTGGTACGACATGTGTTCCATTATATTGGATCGCATTTTAGTAACAAGTTTCTGCACCGTACCGCTTTTTAATTTGTTGCTACTTGCTTGTAAAGGTAGGGGCTTATTAGGGATATATCTAAAATGATGACCTCATGGATGACCAACTTAATGCCCAAGAGGCCAGGGTTAATTAGTTTAATTATGGTCAGGATATTATCAATCGTTGAGTGCTCTAGCTTTTTATTTTATTTTATTTTATTTTATTGTGTTTTATGTATGTTTTAAATATGTTTAGTATTCGGCTATTCATATATAGTTTGAAAACTTTTTTAAAATGACAATTTTGATTCTTGTATTTTGATTATGCAGTCACTTTGGTACAATATGATTCTTTTACTAAGGTGTGAATATTCTAATTTTTAATTTTATTTTGTAAAGGAGTTAATTCTAACGGATGCCCTTTGTCTTTAGTGGCAATTTCAAATTTAGTTTTAGATTATCATTTTTGTCATTTAACACCCTAGACTATCATATTTTAGACACTTTTAGTTCTTTCGATGACTTTTCGATCGGGTGAACCCCTATTTTAAGCAACGGTGTTTTCATCTCTTCAATTTATTATTATTATTTTCCCAACGAGTTAATTTCAGCGGAGGTCCATTGTCTTTGGTGACAATTTCAAATTTAGTCCCAGACAATCGTTTTTGTCATTAACAACTTATACAATAATATTTTAGACACTTTTTGTCATTCCAATAATTTTTTTCAGTGAAACCCTTGTTAATGTTAGTATATGTTATTATTATTATTATTATTATTACTGTTATTTCTTTTATGCATTTATTGTATGGTTGTAATAGCTTGACTTAGTGTAGCTGGTTTATAGGATTAGTTAGAGTTAGATATACTCTGTAATCCTGCAGTTACGTTGTTAACGAAATTCCTTTTCCAATCTGGTATCAGACTAGGACTTTTCGATCTCTCTCAAACTCCACCACAAATTCTCCCCCTCCTTCCCGCACCTAAATCAACCATGTCGACGGGGTCCGATCGTACGGACGGTGGAGCTCCAGCTGCTGGCGGTTCCCTCGCCGGGGCTCATCACTACGTCACAATGAAGTTGACATTGAAGAACTACCTATTTTGGCGAATGCAGATCGTATCCTTCCTCCGAGGCCAGGAGCTCCTAGGCTTCGTTGACGGCAGCAATCCGTGTCCACCGGAACTAGTCGCCGTCACACCGGCGTCCGACGATGCCTCCTCCAGCCACGGCACTCCGGCTACTCCGGATCCGGCCTACAAGGCCTGGATAAAACAGGACCAAACCATCATCTCGTTGTTGGTCTCGTCGATGGCGGACGAAACCCTCCACCTCGCGTTAGGGCGGAACACGGCGGCGGAAATCTGGGCTTCCATCACCAGTGCGCTAGGTTCGTCCAGTCAGGCCAGGTGTCTCAACCTCTTGTCGCAATTCCAGATGCTCCGGCAGGGGAACGCGACGACGGCGGATTACCTAGGGCGCGCCGGCGTCCTTGTTGAGGCGTTGCTGCAGGCCGGCCGGCCGTTAACCCTCATGGAGCAGAACCTGTACATTATACGGGGGCTGCGTCCAGAATTGAAGCCGCTTGCAACGGCGTTAACTGCCACCGGAAATCCGGTCTCTATCTCTCATTTATCTGATTACCTGCAGGCTCACGAATTTATCCTGGTTGACGACTATCCATCTCTGGATACTGGAGTGGCTCACACGGCGCTGTACGCTGGACAAGGGCGTGGCACAAGCAGTTCGGCGGGTGGTCGGAGTCATAATCGCGGCGGAGGCCGTGGTTCGGGCGGCGGCAATGGTGGCCGGAACGCCAGTCGTGGGGGTGGTCGTGGTGGCCGTGGGAATCAGCGGTGTCAAATCTGCCGCTCCCACGGTCACACGGCCGTTTATTGTTTTAAGCGGTATACTACGCAACCTCCCGCTCAAGCGCATGTAGCCGTACCCGGGGAGGCGCCGGCGGCCTCCGTGACGCACGCTTCGGATGGGTGGTATCCCGACACCGGGGCCACCGCCCACGCAACCCCCGACGCATCAATGATTGGCACCTCCGAAGAATACGGTGGCTCGGATGTGCTTCGTGTAGGCAACGGGGCAGGTTTGGCCATCTCACGAGTCGGTCACACGTCTATTCCATCTAAAACTAAAATTCTTCACTTAAATGATGTGTTACATGTCCCTCATTTATTTGTTCCTTTATTATCCGTTCATAAACTCACTAATGACAACAAGGTTTTCTTTGAATTTCATAGTGATTCTTTTTTTGTGAAGGATTCCACAACCAAGGCGGTTCTGCTTAAAGGGCTGACGTCTGGCGGGTTGTACAAGGTTCCAAAGTTACGGTCACAATATGCGTTTGTCAGTTCCCGGGCTTCCCCTACCGTGTGGCATAACCGGCTTGGTCACCCGCACAGTCAAGTCCTGAATAAAGTCTTGCAAAGCTGTCCTGTCACAGTCAATAAAACCGCAACTCCCAAGCAATGTGTATCGTGTCACCTGGGCAAATCGTCCCGTTTTAAACTAGATAGTGTTCCCAATTCCAGTAATAATGTACTTGATCTAATTTTTACTGATATATGGGGACCTGCCCCGGAATTATCTAGTAGTGGTAATCGCTATTTTTGTCTATTTGTAGATGATTACTCCAGGTTTTGCTGGTTTTATCCATTAAGGGTAAAATCAGACATTTATAAAGTGTTTGAGTCGTTCCGTGTCTTGGTAGAGCGGCAATTCTCGCGCTCTATCAAATCTATTCAGTCCGATCTAGGGGGTGAATACCGCAAACTCCATACAATATTCCAAAATCTAGGCATAAATCATCGCCAATCATGTGCCTATACACATGAACAAAATGGTAAAGTAGAGCGTCGAAACAGGCATGTAGTTGAAACAGGTCTCACACTTCTTGCTGAAGGCAAAGTCCCGCAACAATATTGGGACTACGCCTTTGAAACAGCAACGTGTTTAATCAACTACTTACCGTCATCAGCAATCAAATTTGAAAGTCCATACACTCGTCTGTTTAAAACATCACCGCCCTACAGTTTCCTTCGAGTATTTGGGTGTCGATGCTACCCGCACGTACAACCGCCACAAAATCGAGTACCGGTCTATTCCTTGCGTCTTCTTAGGTTACCCGGTCTCCTTTAGGGGATATAGATGTGTTGAGCTGGCGACTGGGAAAACCTACATCTGCCGCCATGTGCGGTTTGACGAGACTAACTTTCCTTTTGCATCAGGAAATTATACACCGGTGTCTACACCGCAGGAGGCACCGTGGGCATCAGCACCCTTGTGCCTACCAGCACCCAGCACCCTCGTCACACCAACGAGTGCCGTACAGTCTGACAGTGAACCAGTACCACTGGCTAGGGCTCCACCTCAGTTGGCAATCACACAGACTGCACCGGTACGAGCTCGCAAGCGACGTGCTCAACCACAGGGCCGTGATCACGTTATGCGCTTACGTCACATGACGAAAGGCACCTCAGAACCGTTTCATGCTTTAATAGCGGTCGCTGATCCTACTTGTTACTCACAAGCAGTAGGGCATCCCCACTGGCGAGAGACTATGGATCAAGAATTCAACGCCTTGTTACATAATCAGACTTGGCGGCTGGTTCCGCCGGAGCCACACATGAATATAATTGGGTGCAAGTGGGTATTCCGGACGAAGCGTACTGCAGATGGGTCGGTAGAACGGTACAAGGCTCGGCTGGTAGCCAAAGGTTTAAACCAGGTGGTTGGGGAAGACTTCTTCGACACATTCAGCCCAGTTGTGAAGCCAACAACGGTTAGACTCCTATTCTCTCTAGCCGTCACCAACAAGTGGACCCTACGGCAACTAGATGTCCATAACTCCTTCTTGAATGGACATCTCGCAGAAACGGTTTACATGAAGCAGCCACCCGGGTATGAGGATCCATCCACACCGGGCCATGTCTGCCACTTACAACGGTCGTTATATGGACTTAAACAGGCCCCCCGTGCCTGGTTTAAACGACTCCACGACTTTCTGTTGTCGGCAGGGTTCAAATCGTCAAAGACAGATGTGTCCCTGTTTTATTACACCTCGAGCACGGCACGTGTCTATCTTCTTGTTTATGTAGACGACATAATTATGATGGGGAACGACAGCAAGCTGGTTAACACTATCCTCCAACAACTAGCATCTGCCTTCAAGATTCGGGATCTGGGCTCACCGGGCTTCTTCTTGGGTATTGAGACGGTATCGTCTACAAGCGGAATGGTTCTGTCACAGCAACATTATATGACTGATTTGTTAGGGCGTTCAGGTATGATCGACTGTAAACCACTTACCACACCAGCCGTCACAAAGACTGCCACTCCCGCCACTCAGCCCTATGACAATCCTACTCAGTATCGGCGCATCGTTGGGGCGTTACAATACTTGACTATTACGAGGCCGGATCTGAGTTTCGCGGTGAACCGCCTATGTCAGTTCATGCACACAACCTACAGAGGAACACTGGGGTATGGTGAAGCGAGTTCTACGGTATATTAAGGGCACTCTAGACTTTGGGCTTCGGGTCTCTCCGTCTACGTCTTCCGACATTCACGCCTATTCGGACTCTGATTGGGCAGGCTGTCCCGTAGATAGGAAAAGCACGAGCGGGTTTGCGGTCTACCTTGGTGATAACTTAATCTCCTGGCTCTCGAAGAAACAGCGCACCGTCGCAAGGTCTTCCACTGAAGCCGAATACAAAGCCTTGGCTGATGTCTCCGCTGAGGTCACTTGGGTGGTGTCTCTGCTGCGCGAACTTGGGTTACATTCCGAGAAACCCGCAACGCTCTGGTGTGACAATCTTGGTGCTACGTACTTGTGTGCTAATCCGGTATTTCATGCGCGTACGAAACATGTGGAAATCGACTATCACTTTGTCCGTGATAAGGTTGCCTCGGGGGACTTTGTTGTTAACTATGTTTCTACGACAGATCAACTTGCAGATATTCTGACGAAGCCGCTGCCGGCCCCACGCTTTGCTGCTTTACGTGACAAGCTCAATGTTGTCGCCCTCCAACCTTGTGCTTGAGGGGGTGTGTTAGTATATGTTATTATTATTATTATTACTGTTATTTCTTTTATGCATTTATTGTATGGTTGTAATAGCTTGACTTAGTGTAGCTGGTTTATAGGATTAGTTAGAGTTAGATATACTCTGTAATCCTGCAGTTACGTTGTTAACGAAATTCCTTTTCCAATCGTTAATAAAATGAATCATTAAGAAAAAAGTATTTTTACAAAGCAAAACATTTTTCTTTCCTTAGAGTTGTTTTGATTTATGGAACAATTCACTAGTTCAAGATTTAGTTCAACAAGTTAATTCTGAAGATTGTATTTAGACTAGATTGAGTCTATACTTACTAGAAGACTTAGTTCAGAGAACAAGCATTTACCAGAAGACGAAGACTGAAGATCAGGAGTGAACAAGTAAAGAAGACAAGTTCAGAGTGAAGTCCAAGACAGTTAATCAGTTAGAGCTAAATCTGGAAGATCAGCTATAAATGTTCATCTACATACAAATCAGTTTGATGATTCCCAAGATTTTGCACAGCAAATCTAGAATTCTGTTCTGGACATATCCATGGAATTTTAACGGAGCAACTTTGTGAATTCACAATTCATATCAAGTTGATTTTGACGCTTGAAGATTACGGGCTGACAACCATAATTGTATGCTTGGGAGAGCTGCAGTTGATGGGGGTCTCTGTTGAGCATATAACCATTAATGTGCAATCTAACTATCAGCTTAGGCTTTTAGTTGAGATAGAGCACATGTTTCAATTTGGTATCAGAGCCAGATCAAAGGTCATGGGTTCGAATCTCTGCGCTAGCGACTACGGTCCACCTCTTCAAGAAACTTCGACGTGATAGGATATCCTTATGCACTAGTATTTACGTAAAACGTCAACACTATTTAATTATTTTGTGCGTCGATTTTTTTTTTCAATATTTGTCTCTTCAGTCGTGGATTGCAACATCTTCTTCATCCGGCTCTTGTCTTCATCTCCTTCAACTCGGCCCCAAATCGTCCTTCGTCAATGGCGATAATGATCAATCCGAGTACATGAGGACCTCTGAAGTGTGGACAAAAATATCCTTGCCTAAAATAGAGTTTCATCTAAAAAGTCATCGGAAGGATCAAAATTATCCAAAATATAATACTCTAGGTGTTAAATGACAAAAACGATAGTGTGGGACTAATTTGGAATTACTACCTGATGGCGTGCAGACCATTTACATCTTCATTATGATGGCCACAATTTGCATGCATGTGTTTAGTATTTATTGTTTACTTGTTTTTCCCAGGCACTGTCATTTTCTATGCAATGTTTACCCTTCCCAACTTCCTAGCAGTTATTTTTTTTCTTTCTTTTCAGTAAATCTATCTATAAAATCTCCTCTGTAAGCTTCTGTTTGAACATTGAAGATTTTATAAAAAAATACTATCCTGAGTTTTGTTATCTTTGCTCTAGTTGTTTTTCTTCTCTTGTTCCGTCCTACATCAGTTTGGTATCGGAGCCATTAATTTCCTGGGCTACGAACGAGATAGCGAATTTTCCTCTCTATTCGTTGGTCCTATAATGGCACATGGTAGCAACAACGGAGGAAACAATCAGACCACGAGCGGTGACCGTGGACTAGATGCCCTTTGGGCAGCTTTTCAAACACAAGGAGAGAATGTTAACCGCGAGTTTCAAGAAATTCGCAACATCCTCACCAACTTATGCTTAAGACTCGATGGAAATGGTGAAGCCCCCGCGGCCGCACCCCAAAGAAGGCACCAACCTCCGGGTGGAAGAGCACAGGGAGTCTTACCGTTGGGAAACCCACCTTTTGGCGATACAAATAGCAGTGACTCTGAAGATGAACTCCAAAATCAAGGTGCCCAAGTTCACAGACAAAACCATTATCAGCCAAAGGCTGATTTACCATGTTTTAATGGAAATTTGAACGTAGAAGCCTTCCTTGATTGGTGTTACGAGGTTGAAAAATACTTTGACATGTTGGATATTCCTGAGGACCGCCAAGCTAAATATGTTGCCCATAAATTACGTGGAGGAGCCGCTGCTTGGTGGGAGGTCACTCAAAATAACAGGAGGAGGCAAGGGAAAATGGCGATCAACACATGGAGAAAAATGAGGAAGCTTATGTCAGGAAGATTTTTACCTCCTGATTATCAACAACAATTATTTCAAAGGTACCAAAGATGCTCACAAGGATCCCGAAGCGTGAACGAATACACATAGGAGTTTTATCGTTTGGGAGCTCGTTGTAATATCTCTGAAACCCCAGAACAACAAACTGCCAGATATATCAACGGGCTGAGGTTTAATATTCGTGAGAAAATGACATTAACACCTATCTGGTCTGTTGATGAAGCATTTAACATGGCAATACGAGCAGAGGATATTTTCATGCAATCTAACCAACGAAGGCAGTATTCCAACTCTGTTCCCCGAGGACCTTCAGTACCACCCATGCGAGGTAACACCTCCAACCGACCTATTCCTATCTCACCCCACCCGACAACATCCAATGATGTAGTTTCATTGAGGAATCCTCCACAAAAACAAAATAATGAGCAACCCACACGGAGTGCAGCACCGAATCCTTATGCCAAGCCCATGACGGGTAAGTGTTTTAAATGTGGGGAGCCAGGGCACCGTTCAAATGAATGTAGGGCACGACGATCGGTTAACTTGGTTGCCGAGAATACTGATGACCTTACTGAAGGTGAAGATTGTAATGAGAACATTGAAATTGCTGAAGAGGATGGTGAGCATGTAAGTTTTTTCATCAAGAGGATCTTATACACAACTGAAGAAAAAGGGCCAGTCCAACGCAGTAATATTTTTCGGGCATATTGTAGTATCTTGGGGAAGGTGTGCAAACTCATCGTCGACAATGGGAGTTGTGATAACATTGTCTCTCGGTCTCTTGTGCAACACCTCAATCTCCGCACCGAGCCACACCCAAGGTCGTATAAGTTAGGTTGGATCAAAGAGGGCCCATCGGTCTCAGTTACAGAAATTTGCCACGTCCCTATCTCAATTGGGAAGAGCTACGAAGATACAATTGCGTGTGAAGTTATAGACATGGATGTCTGCCATATTCTTCTTGGTAGGCCTTGTCAATTTGATGTTGATGCAACTCATCGCGGACGACAGAACGCTTATGAATTTCTTTGGAATAATAAAAAGATAGTTATTCCACCTGCTACATGGGACGAAGCCAAAGATAAAAGAACGTGTGCCATCACATTATCAAACAGATGGAAGGAATTTTTGAATGAAGCCCGGAAAAGCAAAATTATTCTGGTATTGGTTGCCAAAGAACAGATTTTTGAAACTAATGTCATACCTTGTGAGCTCCATTCCTTGTTAAAAGAATTTTCTGATGTTGTGCCTGAGGACCTCCCTGACGGCTTACCACCTCTACGGGATGTCCAACACCAAATAGATTTGGTCCCAGGTTCAAGTTTGCCTAACCTTCCACACTACCGCATGAGCCCTACTGAAAATGAAGCTTTGAATAAGATGATTGATGAGTTGTTAAATAAGGGGTTTATTCAAGAAAGCAAGAGTCCATGTGCTGTGCCTGTTCTTCTTACTCCAAAAAAAAGATGGCAGCATGAGGATGTGTGTTGACAGTCGCGCCATCAACAAAATAACAGGCAAGTATAGATTCCCAATCCTGCGAATTGATGATATGTTAGACCAACTCCATGGGGCAGCAGTGTTTTCAAAAATTGATCTAAGGAGTGTCTATCACCAAGTTCGAATAAAGCCAGGAGATGAATGGAAGACAGCTTTCAAGACGCGTGATGGTCTCTTCGAGTGGCTCGTTATGCCGTTTGGGCTATCCAATGCCCCAAGCACTTTTATGCGGCTTATGAATCAAGTCTTGAAATCATTCATTGAGAAATTTGTCGTTGTGTATTTCGACGATATTCTGATTTATAGTCGAAGCCGTGCTGACCATGAGAATCATTTGAGGATGGTTTTAAATGCCATGCGAGAACACAAACTCTATGCCAATTTAAAAAAAATGTTCATTTTTTACTACTAAATTAGTTTTTTTGGGTTTTGTGATTAGCTATGAAGGAATCCAAGTGGATGAAGGAAAAGTGCAAGTTGTTAAAGACTGACCAACTCCAAAGACTGTGAGTGAAATTCGGAGCTTTCTTGGATTAGCAAGTTTTTACAGGCGGTTTATTAGAAATTTTAGTTCCATTGCTGCACCCTTAACAGATTGTTTACGAAAGAGTGGATTTCATTGGGGTGAAGCTGCTGAGAAAAGTTTTGTAGAACAAAAAAATAAGCTCACTACATCACCTGTTCTCGCCATACCGGATTTTTCTAAACTTTTTGAAGTGGAATGTGATGCCAGTGGCAAAGGTATTGGAGCTGTATTATCTCAAAATCGGAGGCCAATTGCTTTCTATAGTGAACGTTTGAGTACGGCACGAGAACGGTGGTCTACATATGAGCAAGAACTTTATGCAGTGGTTCGGGCCTTGCGTACATGGGCTCATTATTTGCTGCATCGTGACTTCCCAATTTATTCAGACCACGAGGCCTTGAAATATTTTCGCAGCCAGAAACACTTGAACAAAATGCATGCCCGGTGGGCATCGTATCTTGAGCAATTTTCATTCCACATTCAGCACAAATCAGGTACAGCCAATCGCGTTGCGGATGCCCTCAGTAGAAAAAAGAGCTTATTAATCACATTACAGGGTGAGATTATTGGGTTTGACATCCTAAAGAACCTGTATGAAGAAGATGACGATTTTAGTGACATATGGAGACAAGCTTTGCTTCATGACTGCTCACAAAATTTTCATATTTCAGATGGGTATCTTTTCAAGGGTAACCGATTGTGCATACCACGAACATCATTAAGAGAACAACTCATTCGGGATTTGCATGCTAGCGGACTTGGTGGTCATGTTGGGAGAGACAAAACTATTGCTGCTGTGGAGGAGCGATTTTATTGGCCTCAATTGAAAAGAGATGTTGGTTTATTTGTGAAACGTTGCTTTGTCTGCCAAGCATCAAAAGGTCATTCGCAGAACACTGGATTGTACATGCCATTACCTATCCCTGAAGATATCTGGGAGGACTTGTCCATGGATTTCGTCCTTGGGTTGCCACGAACATAGCGGGGAGTGGACTCTGTCATTGTTGTTGTTGATCGTTTCTCAAAAATGGCGCATTTCATCCCATGCCGAAAGACTTCTGATGCTGTCCATATTGCTAGATTATTTTTTCAGGAAATTGTACATCTTCATGGTGTTCCACGTTCTATCATGTCCGATCGTGATGCAAAGTTTCTGTCACATTTTTGGACTACATTATGGAAGAGGTTCGATGCAAGTTTGAAGTATAGTAGCACTGCACACCCGCAAACAGATGGCCAGACCGAGGTCACTAATCGCACTCTTGGGAATCTCGTTCGCTGCATCTGCAGTGGCAACTTTAAACATTGGGACTTCGCCTTGGCTCAAGCTGAATTTGCCTACAACAATTCTGTTCATGCATCCATTGGTCGCTCACCCTTCTCTGTTGTTTACAGGAAGACCCCAAAACATGCTGTTGATCTTCTCCGTTTGCCTTCTACAGAGAAAACACATAAGGTGGTGGACTCCATTGCAGACCAGGTCTAATCTGTGCAAGAAGAAGTCCGAACACAATTGGCAGCTTCTAATGCTAAATACAAGGCTGCTGCTGACAAGAAACGTCGCCAACAAGTCTTTAATGTTGGAGAAGATGTTTTGGTTTATCTTCGAAAAGAACAACTTCCGGCTGGTAACTATCATAAGCTCTTCCCGAAGAAACATGGCCCCTTCAAGATCCTAAAGAAAATCAACGATAATGCATATGTGGTGGATATTCCTGATTATTGGAAGATTTCGAAAACATTTAATGTTGCCGATCTGTTCAAATTTTACTCTGCAGATGACCCGCTGTATCCAGACACCATTAACTCGGGGTCGAGTTCTTCATCCGGTGGGGGAGAATGATGGCGTGCAGACCATTTACATTTTCATTATGATGGCCACAATTTGCATGCATGTGTTTAGTATTTATTGTTTACTTGTTTTTCCCAGGCACTGTCATTTTCTATGCAATGTTTACCCTTCCCAACTTCCTAGCAGTTATTTCTTTTCTTTCTTTTCAGTAAATCTATCTATAAAATCTCCTCTGTAAGCTTCTGTTTGAACATTGAAGATTTTATAAAAAAATACTATCCTAAGTTTTGTTATCTTTGCTAGCTCTAGTTGTTTTTCTTCTCTTGTTCCGTCCTACATCACTACCAAAGATAAGAAATCTTCGCTGGAATTGAATTAACTCTTTAAACTGACATTTTTAGTTCAGAGAGTAATAAGAACGATTAACAATATCAAATAACAACTATTAATATCCAAAGAATGGTATAAACCCTTTTAAACACAAGTGTTATACATACAGCAAAACAAATGAGCGATTGATAATTCTCTTCAGTTTGAGCAATCATTATTGTGTAGAACATACTATCAAATAATGTACATTTAGTACACAAATAATATTTTTAATATATTAAAAATGTATATTGTATTCAGAAAAAGTACATTATTTGAATACTTAAAATACATTATTTTGTATATATAATGTACATTCAATACACAAATAATATACTTTTAAAATATTAAAAATATATTTTTTATTATAATCCACATAGCATTGTGTCGATCATGGTACATACCATAATTTGCCCAGTTTGAGGGCCAAACTCCTGTCATCTTGTGGAAAAATAAAATATTATGAAAATGTTAAAAGAAATAAAAATAAAATCATAAGCCTTAGGGGTAGTGCGTGTGGAGTGTTGATTACGTAAATTTGTGTTAGGCAACCTAAATTATGATGCACGTTAATCATAAGTAGATTACAGGTCATTAGAGCATTATAAGTTCTACTTTGATTTGTTTTTATTTCCTAATTTTTTCCACTGGGGGAGTATCCCCAAGTCATGGAAGAATGAAAATACGTATGGAGAAAATACATGCCCGCAGGAATTCGCCAGCAAAACATGGACATTAATTTAAGAATGATTTGGCAATGATGGCTTATCCAAATCGACAAATTTCAAACACGCATACACTAACTTTCTATTACAACACGTTTGGTTCACGGAATGAATTTTGAGGTAATAGGAATGCTATTCCATAAGGAATGGAATAGGCAAGGAATAGAATAGGAATTGTATTCTATTGTTTGGTTCGCGGAAGGAATAGACTTTAGGAATTACATTACAGTGTTTGGTTGATTTAAGGAATATAAATGAAATATGTTTCAAAAGACATAAATATCCTTATAAAAATATGTGATGTTGACGATGGTGGTGGTGGTGGCGGCGGTGGTGGTGGTGGTGGTGGCGGTGGTGGTGGTGGTGATGGTGGTGGCGATGGTGGTGGTGGTGCTGGGGTGGTAGCGGTGGTGGTGGCAGTGGCAGTGGCAGTGGTGGGGGCGACGGTGGTAGTGGTGGTGACGGTGACGGTTGTGGCAGTGGTGGTGGGGGCGGCGACGGTTGTGGCGGTGGTGGTTCTGGTGGCGGCAGCGGCGGCGATGGTGGTGGCGGCAGTGGTGGCGATGGTGGTGGAAGCGGTGGCAGTGGTGGGGGCGGGGGCGGTGGCGATGGTAGTGGCGGTGGTGGTGGGGTGGTAGTGTTGGTGGTAGCGGTGGCAGTGGTGGGGGCGGCGACGGTTGTGGCGATAGTGGTGGTGGTGGCGGCGACGGCGATGTTGGTGGTGGTGGTGGTGGTGGCGGCGGTGATGGTGGTGGTGGCGACGACGGTGGTGAAATAGGATAAATTTATATATAGGATAAAAAAATTAGGTTAAAGAAAGGGGTAAAAAAGGAAATAGATTCTAAACCTATTCCTGAGCGTTCAGTAATAGGCTAATACCAGGGGGGCCCTAGTAATAGCTATTACCTTATTTGAGGTAATAGGCTATTACCAGGAATATTATTCCTGGTAATAGAAATGGTTACCAAACACAGGAATAGGCCTATTACTGGGAATGCTATGCCATTCCCGGCCTATTCCGTGAACCAAACAGACCATTAAGGATTTAAGTACCGCATAATAATAATAATAATAATAATTATTATTATTATTATTATTATTATTTTATATATATATATATGCTGTCTAACTACAAGTTTCCTTAATAAAGCTTTTAAAGTAGCTGCATTTCTAATATTCAAATCCAAAAAAAAACTTGTTAAATTGAAAGAGACAACATGAGTTTGTCCGAGCATTTCCAAATCCTTATATACATATATTTAGCCCGTGTCACTTCCTAGGTGTTAATTGGTATATCCTACGGTTGTAAAAATTGAATAAAATAATTTATTATCATCATTTTATGAAAAATATAATAATCACGTATCAAATAACTAGTATATGTATTATGTGTGATGCGCAAAAAAAAAAAAAAAAAAAAAAAAAAACATTGATGCTCAATGTTAAACTATGATATATATATATATATATATATATATATATATATATATATATATATATATATATATGAGAGTTACTCCCTAATAAAAATTTGTGGACAAATTCAAATTATTAATGATTGAAAATTAAGGGAGAAAAACATAGTATCAGTTTTATAAATATTAACAACTTTAAAAAGTTTGTAATATTTATGAAAATTTTCTCATTTTTATTTATTTTCTAACTTTTGATTAACTAGATAGATGGATAAGATTAATTTGTATTTTTTACATGGAGCATTATTTTCATACGATCCTTTATACACACACACACACACACACACACACACAATTTTTATAAATTTAAATAAAAATGGTCAAATAAGTCATTGAACTAATAGCAATACCGCAATTAGGTTCCTGAATTAAAAAATGTTTTAATTAGACCCTTGAACTTGTAAAAAAGGTCAATGAGTACTTTTAGCAAGTTACCATAAGGTAACTTACCGGCTAAACATGACATGCGACTCTTTTAGGTGATTTGGAGCTAAGTTGTTTATTTTTAGAATGATGTGGTGTAGTAATAATAATAACAATAACTAATATATAAATTCAATGGTTTGTTTGTAAATTTTTTAAATTTAGAAACCTACTCGTTCGGGGCGTATTTGACTCTTTTTCTTATATTATATAATCTAATACAAGTATTTTATCATGACATTAATATTTTATTCCGTAAATTTAGAACTATATATATTCATTAAATCTTTTTTACGCTACTCAATCATCAATAATCAAGCATTAATACTAAGTAATTTTTATGCAGTATTAATTAGAGTTGAGAAAAGCCAAGAGTAGGGAATATGAAATTCATAGACATTAATGAGATTAATATTGACAAGGGGAAAATTAAATGAAATGGAATATTCTGGTCTGTTTAGAAGGGTTTTTGGAATCTAAGTACAACCTTCCACGTAGGATGTGCCGGTGCACCTTACTTTGTGACTGACAATGTTATATGAGTGGGGTTTATCCCAACATGACTAAATGAGAATATACATTTTTAATTATTAAAATAAATTATTGATATTGTAATCATTTTTCTTTAACAAAAAATTACCATGGCAGTGGGTACTGAATAATAATAATAATAATAATAATAATAATATATATATATATATATATGGTCGCGTTCAGGTGCGAATAAGTGCTCAGGAGAAAAATGCGAATCAATCAACGCGCGTGGGGGCCACGTGTCAGCATTCATTGATCGGGTGTACCCACTTTCACGTATACGTGCACCTACTTTCGCCTACAAGTGCATGTAGTTTTTGCCAGCATTCATTGATCGGGTGCACCTATTTCACCTACAAGTGCACCTACTTTCGCCTGCAAGTGCATGTAATTTTGCCTTGTTAACATTCATTGATCTGAGTTCAGCGGGTAGTAATACCCCTGAAAACCACTCGCAAACATTCATGCACCTATGTGCAACTACTTATAACTATAGGTGCAACTACTTATAACTATAGGTGCAACTACTTTCGACTGCAAGTGCATGTAATTTTGCCTTGTTAACATTCATTGATCTGAGTTCAGCGGGTAGTAATACCCGTGAAAACCACTCGCAAACATTCATGCACCTAGGTGCAACTACTTATAACTATAGGTGCAACTA